TTTTTTTTTTTAACTTCATCTTGAAAATAGACTATCTCCTTAATTTTTGAATGAAGATCGGAAAAAATGTAGGATTAATTTAGCAAATGATAATTATTAACACTATTTTATTGTATGAAATAATTTTTTGATCGTGCTATATGTATATAATAATTTACATAATGACTTATCAACAAATGATATAGAGAAATTTAATTGAATCAAAATGTCATCAATAAAATAACTTTCCCACTTACATTTTGATATCTCATCATTACGTAAAATATTATGTCGAATCAATACTCATGTCGAGACTGAGAACAATGCTCCAAAAAATTCCTACTCATTCACTTCCTACAAATATGAATCCATGCCCATAAATGGAGAGTCGCCAACCATATTTTTCATATCATCGGAGCTGTGAGGAAATTCACTTTTGACTATACCTAATTTTTCATACATTTTTTGTTTTTTTTTTCTTTATATTTTTTTCATTTTTTATTTTATAATAGAGGGCAATTATATTGAATAGAAACCATCATCCAGGACAATTACCGATAATATATGAATGGTTGAAAATAACAATATCAAGAAGCAAAGAATGAAGGTAAAGGTGCCAAAAGATACTATATATGAACAATTTAATCTTCTTTTAAGCATAGCCAAACATCTTCAAAAGTCGGATTTTTTTGAGTTAGTCAATCAGTGGGTTAGGTAAGACTTTCATGACCCAACAACTTTCATAAATGAAAATCAAATAGCACTAAATGTCGCAAAAATCATCATGCATATTGCCGTAGTGGAGTTAAAAGAACAAAGTCCTAGATCAAGTAATCTTTTATTTAGATAAAAATTAAGTTTCGTTTGATAAAAATTGATAGAACGTGCAGTTGAGAAATTATGAATTCTATAAAATGTGTTAGTAAATTAATTGTAGATTTTGACTTAAATTTTTTCAACTTTTTTAGTTAAATTAAAGATTAAAATTGGATCTTGCTATGGGTACATGGAGGTTTACATGTTGGTTGACACGAGTCCACCTCCCCTCTTATATGGGGAGGTCGGTCCCACGCATTTGGGCGTGGACTCCGACCTCTCCATGTGAGAGATCGGGTGGTACCGTATCAACCAACATGTAAACCAATAAGTACAAATGACATAATCCAAATTATAATATCAATAAAAATCAAGAAACTAACCCTAAATCATAAAAAAAGTTAGAAAAAAAAAAAAAAAAAACATTGAAATAAATAAGAGTTAAAAAAAAAAAAAAGACATAAAATTTCATCTGCAAGATTTAAAATTTCATGCACTTCACTTTTTATTGAGACTAAACTGGAGTCATAACGGAAACTTCCACCTTAGCCGCTGGTAAACACCAAATTTGACATGTATTATATCTTATGCTTGACGGACTTGGGTTGTCGCCGGCGAGTTTTGTCTTGTTTGCTAAAAGCACTGCAAAATCCACATGCAGAAACCTTAGGAGACGGTGGCTCTATAGCTGGAGACACCCTTCCGGTTCGGTATCCCCGTCCTCCGCCGTTAGATTGGCTTCTCTCTATCTTTACTCCGGCGAACTTCTTTTGTTCAACTTGATTGCTTTCTTCCTTTTGATTTGCCACTTTGTTCAATTCGCCAGATAAGATCTTATCGTCCCAAACTAATCCTGAAGATCCTTGTCTCCTGAATGATACTTCAGATCTCATCAAACCAGCCATCATCGATCACCTCTCTCCTTCTCTTTACAATTATTTTTTTTCCTCTACAGATTTCTACTTGAATGAGGATTGTGAATATAAAATATGTAGAGAGATAGAGGGGCAGAGAGAGCCCACAATTACTATGGTTTTGATTTCAACTTTGAATTTAGTCAATTGCTTTAATTAATTAACTATGGGGTGGATTTTAAAACTAAAATGGTAAAATTTTAGTCCTTGTTTGGTCCCCATTATTTTCAAAATACATTTTCTTCTTTCATATTTTCAACTGCACATTTCTCAATAAGATAATATTATATACAAATTCAAAACATTTTTTTAACCACACATTTTTCATCAAAATAATATTCCAAAATGCATTTTGAGTGAGCTCAAATTGGCTCTTAAAAAAGTTTATTATCCGTATTTTAAAAATATTTTAAGATTCTTTTGTCAATGAATTATTAATAAAATGTATGAATTACTAAGACCATCTATATTATAATGAATTATAATGAAATCCAATAGTACAAGGACTCTTAAAATTTATTAAAATTATAGTGACACCCTTTTCCATACCTATTTTAATTATATTGGAATTGAAAAGTCCTATCTTAATATATAGTACATGCTTATATATTTATTACGTGAATTTTGATCGATTGATTTTGTAAATTGAGTTGGAGAAAGAACAGCACGGTACAGATCGACACAAGAATTTTCAATAGTTTGATTCTATTGTACAAAACTATGATCAAGTATTAAACTTTGAATCTACCTAGAAGACTAATTTCGTAGATAACCTTTTTTCGTATGAAAACATTCGATCTTTCTTCAATGATACGATAAGTAGATGACTTTATTGTGTAAATATATTTATTGACATGGATTGTTTAATTCATTAATGAAGATTAATTAATTAATCTAATCATTCGCATAATTTCCAGTTTAGGGGTACCTAAATGATATTAAAAAAGTTGATAATCCTGTGAATATTTCCTTGTAAAACGGCCTTACGACTTTATTAATTTGAACCACCGGACCAAACTGATGAGCTCGTCTATGATACAAAGTCATCACCGTCAAAAAGTAGGCTCTCCTTTGAAGAAGAAACAATAAATATAGGTTTGATTAAAAATTGAATATTTAATAGATTTTAATAAAGTTGATAAAATACGTTATTGAAAAGTTGATAGAAATTGTGAGCTCTATAAAATATTTGATGAAAAATGAATTTTGAAAATCGATGCCAAACATAGACAAATGTTTAAAGCAAAACTTCAAGTGCTAGTTTGACACGCGATAGGATATGGTATTTTCACATCTTTAGTAGAGCAACACCTCGACATGTCGATAGTTGAATTTGATTGCAGCAACCCCATATCCACAAACCCAAAGACACTATTCTCAACTGCATCTAAGACTCGAAGACATCACTCGCCGCCTTATATTGTTATTTTATTTGATGGGAAGCAAACACAATTTCAAATTTTACTAGGTCATATAGACATTTTTACATTGTAAAACTTATTAGTATTGATGCTATTGAATAAAATCGCGCTTTTCCTTCCAAAGTATATGCCCATTTTGTAATTTTCTAAATTTATGTAGAAAAGGTAATTACTTTCTTTTTTTTTTTTTTGTTCAAAAATGGCAACTTATTCTGTAATTTTTTATAGTGGAAGAGTCAAAGTCTGAGAAATTTCAAGGCACTCATCGCGATTGTTAAATACGGGGTACGTTTCCATTTAATCAAATTATCATTGTGCCTTTGAATTCGGTGCAATTGTTGATAAAGCACTAATTTTATGAATATGTCAATAATGTCATTATCACATCATAGGAATTATCATTTACCCTAATTTCAAATAATAATGATGGGTTGAAGGCCTAATGATGGAAAAAGGTGCATGCTTTCGGATTCAGAGGATTTTTCGTGTTGTATCTTGATTGTGCTTTATGAAGGCATCCTCAATTGGAATTGAGATTTACGGGTCCATTTTCAACGTCACTCGCTACAATTTATCGTATTACTTTCAAGTCTCAACTCCCTCGATTGAAGTATTAAAAGAACAGGATCGGAACAAACAAGGTTCTACTTCAAGTTGTTCAAGAATAATGACCTTCTACAAATGCTCGCTCCACTTCAAGCAAACGAAAAGTTAGTGGGAAACATACAATAATATGAACAAGGATAGGAATATAAACTAAATTTGGTTCAAAGATTACACTTGGGGAGCTGTCAAGAAGCATTAATGATATACAAATGCTAATTTTCCAAAACTTAATAGCTGAAGACATTTATTCATTTATAGAATCGACACGTGAGTTTCTTTGCCCAAAAACGGCTCTTCAAGCATAAGACGAAAGAGAAGGCTATCGCAGTGAATTCACGAGAATGAATCAAGAAACTAACTTCTGTTCCTATTACCACTGCTACTGGAGCCTTTTGCCTTTTGATCCCTCAGAAATACAGTCATCTAAGGCTGCTAAAACTCGTGTTTCAAATTTATGCCCCTTGAAAGTTGCCTTAACCTTCCTAACAACTTGCTGCTTCGCCACCTTACGCTCTGCTGTCGTGAGGTGCTTACTCTTGCGAATTCCTTTAAGAAAACTGACAACATATTCAACGGATCCCCCAGTACCCTTTTCTATCTTCACAAGTTTTTCAACCACTTGCAAAGAAAACAACCGTTCTAGACACATTTTGTTTCCAACCTCGAGAATGTCCAAAATACAGTGCACACTTACTTCTCTGGTCTTCACTGATTTACTCTCCATCGAATGAACCAACCTCTCAATAAGACCTGTTTGAAGGATTTGAGTCAAAACGAGATTTCCGCCATTGCTGAAAAGCATGTGATGTAGTGCTGTATAGGCAGAGTCCTGCAACTCTGGAATCTTGCACTGCATCACTTTTATTAACTCGGTAATAATATCATGCTCCAGAAACTTTTTAATGCAAGGCTCTCCCCCAGAGCTAGCAAGCTTCATTAGAATAAAAGCAGATTCGGACCTTACTGAATTTTGATCTGATTGTCCATTTTGCAGAAGTTCTGAAAGTCTTTCGACAAGGGGACTCCGTAAGATCATGTCCCTGATCCTTGACTCTTCTACCTCGTCAATTATCTGTATAAGATGTTGCGTAGCTTCTAACACTAGCTTCTCATTGCTGTCTAGTAGTTTGTGAAGTACATCTTCAAAAGTTTGTGGCTTTGGTGAAGACAAAGTGTTCTGGTCTATCAATACAAATTTTTCTAGGCGAAGTCTTGCTTGCCAAGGCAACAAATTTAGAGTACTGGGCTGTAGTGAACCATTCGCAGAACCTCCAAGCTCGTAAAATGCTTTTAGTATGACAATTGCATGGTTTTGAGCAATATCAGACCCCGTCTCAAGAAGTTTAATGAGGCTCCGGTCTACTTCAAAATCAAACATTTTCTCAACAGCTTTTGACTTTCCAGCTTTGATCAAAGACATTAATGTTGCACACACAGTATCATGCCACTCTTCTGCACGTGGAGACAGCAAATCGGCCAATTTACACATCGGAATTCTCTGAAGAACTTCAACAGTGGTACCCTGGTTTCCGAATTCCGCAAGTTTTGCGAGGACAGTAAAAGCATTAGTCTGATTTAGTGGCTCCTCACAGTTTTCTATGATATTAGCAAGTTTTTCAATTGCTCCTACAGTTTCAAGGGATAGCAAGTACTCTGAATAGTCTGCATTCGTAAATATATTTGTGATTGCCACTGAAGAAACCGCAATCAGATCCTGTGATCCTGACATCAGATTTGCAATCTCCGGACCCAGCATTTTGCAAAAACCTGCCCGGCTTGCTTCATATTCAGAAATCGACATGCTTGCCTCGAGGGCTTGATTTATTGCTTCTAAGATAATTACCGCTTGCTTTTCTTCTAAAAGACTAAGAGAGAGCTCAATATTCTGCTCAGAAATTCTTTTAACTGTTTCCTTTCCAAAAATAAAAAGCCAAGGACTGATGAACGCCATTTTTTCTGCATTTGAATCATTAAGTAATGTTTTAACCGACTCATTTGTTTTGCTATCAAGGTAGAGGGAGACCATGTCATGCACTTGGTACAAGGAATTCGGTTCAACTTCCATCAGTAATGAGCCTTCAGTAAGCTTGCGAGATGTTAGCGAGAACAGATTTTCGTCCCCAAGAACCGACCAAATAGCCTCGAGACAAGCTTCTGGAACAGGTTCTGCCCATGACAGAGCAGCAAGAGCAATGAAGAGTCTTTTCGAGTCCATAGGCATCACCTCCAGACTAAATTCAAGTGATCCGAAAATGGTAACTGTGCTTTCAGCTTCTTTCTCATTTACATATGAGATCGGACCTGGTGCACACGTGGCGTAGGTGGATAGGTTTGAAATAGCCTTTTCCCATTTCTCGGCTCTTTTTTCTTTCCTGAGGGCCTTACCCATGACAGAAACTGTCAGGGGATGATGACCACAGCGTTCAAGCAATGTATCTGCCTCCTCCTATGGACGAATTAATAAGAAAATCATAAAGTTATGAAGAGTATTATTGAAAACTAAAAGTAAGATATCTAGTATGAGCTCAAACAGAAAAGAAATGTCCAACAAGTGAAACCTTTTTCTTTCCATATAATAACGTTACAGGATCTGAACAAAGTTTGTCAAGCTTTATTAATAAAGGGTATACAGTAAATAGTATATATGCTTCGGGAAAACATGAGATGAATCTGGTCTTAGCCTCATATGACAGAGTTAACTCTAATCTGACATGGTTCACCTTTATTAGGAGGCAGCATTAATGAAAAGAAAAGGCACCTGCAAGCAGGCATAGCAAGATAGTAGTGTTACTGAAATTTGCAATCTTTAAGAATTAGGAACGTGATTTATTATCAATAGCTGTTACAAGAAGTCCTTGTGCACTTTTGGGCTTTTGATATATTGTTCCAAAAATGTAATTGATCGACTTTCTAGTGTAGCAAATGAAACTCTAATTTTGTGAAAGAGAGAGTCATTCTTACTATCATAAGCTTAATGATTTCATTTCTTACAAAACTTAACGTTCTTTTCTCCTGGCAACCACAGGTTCCCAACATTCTGATCTTAATGTGATATTTGCATCAGCTATCCGTCTTTCATGAGTACACAGGTTTGATATTTGGTCCAAGATGTAGCTTTTCTTAGACGGTAGCTTCATAAAAGTTATTGATTTTCCTTTTCTAACCGAGAGGAATTTGCAGACATTTCTATGAAAATAGCCCTATTATAAAAAGGTGGATAAAATTTGTGGATCTAATGAAATGTGTGGTTAAAAATGAAGTTTGAACAATTTTCTAGCAAACAAAAGCTTTACCAAACAAGCACTTACAGTTTGAAAACTGGTAAGCAATATAGTACTTACCGGTAACTCATCTTCTCTGAGGTGGCTATGATAAAGAAGAACTGCCTTGCTTATTTCCTTTATGTCAATCTTTACTCACCTCTACCTTGTAAGCTTCTGTTATCTCATAGACAGATTCATTCCTACTTGTTACCAAGTACCTACAGTCATTATCATATAACTTTGCAAAACGTTCAACAATGTCTTGTTCCCACACATCGTCAAGAAGTATCAATAAGCGCTTCCCGACCAGTGCTTCTTGAAGCTTGAAGCAGACACATTCAAGATCTCCACAATATTCATCTTTGATTTTTTTCCAAAAACCAATCTGTACCAGAAACTTACAAAATTTTCTCGCCAGTCGCTTTTGGTATTCGGCCTTATCACCATGACAAGCAGGTCTACTGCACCACTGTCAGAATCCAAGTTCAACAGCTCCATCCACAAACCTTGAGGGAAGATTGGAAGCCACTTGTCGAGCTAAAGATGACTTGCCAATGCCAGATAGTCCAACAATGAGAATTACACTGCGACAGCTATCTTCCTCCAGTAAATTTCTCACATACTTGCACTTATTGGAGATTGGGTACCCTTGATCTGTGTTTATTTTTAACCGGACGGGGATGTTTCGTGCAGTTGTTTCTATCAAATTTTCAACATGCTCAGTCAATCTTTGAGATTCAAGCCACCAGCTCATGTCATACCTCATTGAATTCAATATCTTCCCAAGTGGATCGCCAATCATAGAATTCCATACAATCTTAGCAAATTTCTTGATTTTACTTCTAGACACGACCCTTTTAGCCTTCATGATATTTGCACGTAGCCGTGCAATAAGGCCATTTAAGCTTTGAATCTGATTTTCTAATTGGGGGTTGTGAAGCTTGTGAAAATGCTTTTGCTTAATAAGGTGTGTCAAAGTCTCAAGTTCATACACAAATTCCTCTAGGGTTTGAATCCTCCGAGGAGCTTCATCAATGTTTCTAGAAGCCTGCTCTAATGCCCCAATTGCTGCTATCATACTCGAGACTATCTGTGTTGCGGCCGAAATAACTTGCAGAGCATCCATTTCACAAAGAGATCGTCCAATTCAATATTTAACCTGACATGAACTTTATGCCAATGCAACTATTAAACCCTCAAAGGCAACCCCACCAAATTCTTGAGAATGCAAAGCTCAAACTTTTGTGAAGTATCAACAAGTCCACATTCTCTTACATACCATCCACGGAGTCGAAACAATTAACAGATCCTTACAAATCTAGAGAACCAATCCCTATGTAGTAACATACTTCAGTCTAGATTCTTGAAAAACAACGAGGCTCCCAAGTCAAAACACTTTCTTCCATAGATTTAAAGAATAATCCAAGATAATTAACACCCAATTCTTAAAAAATTATTTTCCTCCATAATTAGTAACTTTACCAATACACGATCAGCAGAAATCAAGAAATCTGAATCTTAGAATTCTTCAAAATAATTAACATTCTAGTACAAGAATAGGCAGCTAATGTTATGTTCTAGAAATCAGATAAATTTCAACACAAAACAGATTGTTCGAGAGGATCTAGTGTTTTTAGTTCTTACCTCAGGAAGCTACGAAAGACAGATTTTAACAAAAGCCCTTCATTGAAAATGGCCAAGAAACGAAGGGAACCACCCACCATAGCCGACCCCTACCTGTACGATTCTTTATCCGTTTTATGATTTTTCTTGAAGTGATTCTTACTTCAATATTAAAACGAGTGTTTGAAGAAGATCTTCGAATTTGGATTCCAAGTTTTTAGTTGGTTTGCCATTTTTTTTTTTCTGCCATTATCGATCAAAAACTGTCAAGTTCATTATGACAAAATTCTGACAACATTTTTTTTTTTTTTTTTTCATACATAGCAGATTTGTTTACTTTTGGCGCATAACATAAAATAGGACAAGACATTTTTAGGGAAAAAAAAAATAAAAAAATTAATAGGCCTGCGCAAGCAGGTGAGGCAATCCACAGTGCGCTCCATTCCACATACCGAATATCCTTGTGGAAGAGGTTGGAAGGGCTGATGATCCAATCCGTCCACAATCCCTTAGAATTGGATCTGGCACAACGACATTGATTCACAGCATGGTTCGGGTCATGTTGTGGGCCCAACCTATTTTTACTTCACGACTCTAATGACAATTCTTCACAATTTGATCTAATTTTTAATGAGTAATGATAAATGAAATTTGTGCACTTATTTAAACCACATTATTAAATTTTTATGTCGTCAATTTATTAATTTCTATTTAACTTAGGTTAATTTTATTTTGTTTTTAGTGATGGACTCATTTGGAACAAATGGAAAAGGAGGAAGAACAAATTAGCTATTGGTTGCAATGTTGGAGATCAAATTCAACACTGTGAAATTTGAAGGACTTAAATTGAATCGAAGAAGAAATGGGCTATACAAATAAATTGGTATTAACGACCCAATTGTATTAAAGGAATCAAGTGAAGCCTTGTGAGACAAATCACAATTAATTGGGCCTAGACCAGTTGCCTTGGGGATGAACCGAATATAATTGGGCCTCACAAGTGTAGTAGAAGGGCAGCATGTTGGAATTGTTATTTACATATATATTCAAGCTGGCCAGTTTAATGAAAGGGGGGACTAACCTACAGGAAAAGAAAACGGCAGCTTGGGGGATGAATTGGAGTTCCTTTTTGAATCAAAGAGGGCCGATTCTGTGATTGTCGAGGTCCGAGGCGAAGAACAAAAATTAGGTCCTCAAAATCAACATGAATGCAAAATTCAACGATATATTATGCAACATATTGATAACTTAAAACTTAACATTAAAATAACAAACAAATATTTCATATATATATATATATATAAGTGGAAATAACAGGATTCCCCACATTAAAAATCCAAAATTCTAAATGAGGTGGATAGTTTCATTGTTCCAAAATCATATGTTTTGCTAAATATATATACTTCAAAAAACCCTAATTATTCCCATTTTCATTCCCCCCACCTTGATTCTCTCTCTCACGTCTCTCTCTCAACTGCCCGCAATAGACGATGGAGGAGATGCACCGTTGTAGCGTCGCCGACCATGCTGCTGCGAATGTCTCCTTTGCAGCGTTGACGTACTGATGGCAAGGGTGAGTAGATCGCGATGGAGGTGGATCTGTGGATATGTAGTGTGCGTGCGGTAGTGGTTCGACGAACTGATGCGTGTGGTGGAGGCGGTTAAATCTGTGGTTGGTGTGGTGGTTGTGGAAGCGCGAGTGGGGTGGTTACGTGCAACAGTGCGAACTGGTGTGTGAGTGTGGATCTGTGGTGGTTGTGGAATGGTTTGGAGTGGGTTTTGTTGGTTGTGGTGGCGGTAGAGGAGGCAGTGCTGGCTGTTGGATAGATGTCATGGTTGTGGAGTGATTTGGGGGTGCTGCTGGCTGCGTTGGCGGTACTGAAATTTGTGACCGTGATTGTAACTCCCAATTGTGACTCGCAATTGGACATGTAATCTAAAAAATTGTGATCGACGAATTAATCGTGACGAATAAATTCACAAATATTTGGATGTGACCGTGACTCACAATTAATGAAGTTGTGATCGAAAAATTAATCATGACCAATATATCCAATAATTTGCAATAAAAATAATCTGTGACCTAAAAATTTTTGGATTCTGTGACCTATAAAATTTTCGATTTGTGATCGAAAATATTTCTGTGACCTATAAAATTTTCGATTTGTGATCGAAAAATAAGTTGTGACCAAAAAAATTGATTAGTTGTAACTAAAATTTAATCTGTGACTAATTAATGAGATAACTGTGACTAAAAACTGTGACATCAATATATTTAATTAATAAAATATATATTTAATAAATTAATTTATAAATAAAATTTAAAAATCTGATTTTTTGAAACTTTAAACCTTTGTTCTTAATTTTGAAAAGGGGTATACTTACCTTTTTAGAAATGAATTTTTCCCTATATATAATTAAAAAAAATTTGGGCCAAAATAGGTCCCCTATGGTTTTGAGACTGAGGCACAGGCCTCATTTGCCTGGCCACAGGAACGACCCTGGAATCAAATACGGTTGCTAAGGCTGACTTAAATATACAACTCACACATCCGTGCTGAAAAGAAGTAAAGGAATTGGAATTGTTTTGGAAGTCAAAAATCGCAACCACTTTGAAATTCTACTGACACAAAAAAACAAGAGCTGCGTGAGAAAGTATGAAGGGTTGCTGGCTGCTATATATATATACATATATTTTACACGCCAACAAAATGGAGAAGACGGAAAAAAAAACATTGAGCTGCTGGAATATATATACACATCAATAAGCGGCTAGACGTGGTAGAGACGCACGCATTGGCAGCCACCTGGAGGAATTGAATATAAAAACACATAAACGGGGCAGCAAGGAGGGAATACAACTGCTAAATTTGGGAAGAAAAAGGTTGTCACTGCTTAATTATAAGAGATATACACACATTGGTAGCTTGGGGAAGCACATACAATTGTTGGCAGCTGGGAGATTATAAATATACATAGTTTGGCGGTTGGAATTTGGAGGAAAATAAGTGGTTGGCGGCTGCGTTTGTAGAGAACTAGAGATTGTGTTTGGAGGAATATAACAAGATTGAAAAGGCTGCCGTGGGGATTGACTATTGTTGGAGAAAATTTACCGGATTGGAGTAGAGATCACAAAATATGAACCGAAAATGCCAATAACAAGATAATTACGAACTTGTATCAATGAATGACTTGAACACGACATCGTTGTCCTCAAACGATATTTGTCCCTTCTCCTATGAATTTGAGATGCTTCGAAGGTTGTTGGCAAATGGCTTGCAGGATTATAACAAGCCTTGCAAGGATTTAAACACCAAAGCACAAGTGCAAATTTTAGAAAACTTGAAGAACACAAAGAATGAATATGGCTTTTAAGATTTTGATCTTTGATTTTGAAAGTAATATGGAGCCTTAAATTTTTTGTAATGTTTTTGCCTTCAACATGGATCCAATATATATAGTCATACACCACATTCAGGAAAAGGTATCAAACTTAAGCCAAAAGTCACCAATTTTGAATTTACAACGAGAGATAACAGCCTCCAAATTGCACCATGCGACCGCATGACTATACCTTTTCTTTTATTGTTGTTGTTGGTTTTGAACAACATTATCACATCAATCCCTCACTTATTCAAAATTAACAAGTCTCATATTCATGCATAAGAATTAGATATCTTTCGATTTGAATCTAACCATAGTGTAATTCAAATAAAGTATAGTCTAAATCAAAGGTAGCGTGTGGCTTTGAACTAGTTATTCCATATGACAATACCGGTAAAAACACACACACGAGTACCTTCTCAAGTTCTTCATAACTCACTTAGCACTTTTATAGCTTTGCGCTTATCCTTTCAACAATCTTTTAAGAGAGAAACTCCAACTCTCTACTAAGGCGGCACCACCTTGAAGATTGTTTAGGTGAAGTTCTTTCAGTACCTTTGTTACCTTTAGAGGTACTTGTGTTTTATCACTGAACTTCATTAAGAGCTTATAGCTTATCCTTCATTTCAGTAACAACCAACATTAATTTAATTAGGATGGGATTATTGCAAATTTTTTAAAAATGCTGCAACTATTCACATATCGAATGACTTGTTGTTACCCTTTGAACCCGTAAATTACCTTTTGAGTAATGACAGGTAGGATTGCTGTCATTGGTGAACATTTTTAGTTAAGGAGTTTCAACCCTATCATAGTCGAAGTAAATGTTACTAAATCTCTATTTAGAGGTTTAGTCAAAGGATCCGCCAAATTCTCAATTGACCTAACATAATTTAGAAAAATTATTCCATCCTTGATTAACTTCCTTATATAGTCATGTCCAAGACTTATGTGTCTAGACTTTTCGTTGTATACCTCATTATATGCTTTTGCTAATGTGGCTTGACTATCACACATGATAGGCATTCAAGAAATATTCTTCGATCCCAAAGGTATCTCATAAAAGAGATCCCTAAGCCGCTTAGCTTCTTTCTCGGTGTTCGATAGGGCTACAAATTT